TATGGCAGCTGCATGGGCAGCCAGTGTTGGGGGCAGTGTCGGGGGTTTGGGGTCACGTCAACTGCCTAGAGTTGTTAGCAGTGGTGTATAAAGTACCTGAAAGTCATACTCAAGTAAAAGTACAGATATCTTACCAGAAAATTACTTTGGTAGAAGTTGAAGTCACCATTTAGAATATTAGTCTTAAAGTATGTGATGTTTATTGTACTTAAGTACGAAAAGTATTTTTTAAATCTTAAACGTATTTAAGCATTGAAAGTAAAAGTACAAGTAAATGCAAAATGGAAAAGACGCAAATAAATATATATAAAAATTTTCATACAGTTTGAGTAGCAATATTGTGTTCGGTTTTAACTCTTTCTTCCATTTTGTATTTTTTAGGTAAGAATAAGAAGCACTTCATCCGGTACTTATTGTCTTTCATTCCAACATAAGAAAACATTTCTGGAATTTGCATCTGAAATAGCATTTAGATATATTTACACAGTTTATGTATCTCAGAGGGGACATGGATGCATTTACACTGCCCTTACAGATGCATAAATAGGCCTAATGTTTGGTTTTTAACATAAAACGTTGAATACTGATATTTTAAATAATTTAAAACATGAAAAAAGTCGAAATGTGAAATTAAAACCACCAGTAGGTGACAGCAAGTGACTGTTAATGAGCAAAGTCATTGAGATTCAACTGATTCATTCAAACTGATTAATTCAGGAACAGAGCATTTGACTGTGTTAATGAGTGAATCACTGAATCATTTATTCAACCGATTCGGTCAAAAAGCGGATTCATTCAATAAGTAAACACCATTGCTCAGAGATGCAAAACAGTGCTGTGATTTTTGTTGGGAACTATTTTCGTTGGCAAAATTGAGCAAAAACAAGCAATATTATGTCTAAAATGTAAGTCACTTATTGCTTTACTGAACTTGTATAAATTGATTATTAAATGTGTTCATGCTGATAACTGCAGAAAAACAGTACTCTTTGTGTGATATAGATTAAGTTCACTATATTAAATTATATAAATATAAAAAGAATACAGAAGCATTTTTGCCGTCTACAATTTAGAAGGCCTGGAATTTAGAATTTTAATAGACTAATAAATCAACGTGCGTGCACTCTGTGTGTGATTTGGTGATATAGCCTACTTGATAATGTCAGATCGCACATCATTACAACAACACTTACCATATTATTGCAGACGATGCTGTATCACACACCCCAGAATGAATTAGAAAGAAAATGAATTATCTGCGGTGGTGCGCGCACTTGCTTGCACATGAGCATGAGTCTAACTTGCAGACGGCAGACCACTGATTCGTCAAACCTTCTTTCCTGCATTCAGTGTTCTCCTGACTTCTGACTATTTTGTAGTAAGTAACGAATATGCTTCGGGGAAATGTATCGGAGTAAAAGTATACATTTTAATTAGGAAATGTAGTGGAGTAAAAGTTGGCTGAAATATAACAACTCAAGTAAAGTACAGATACTCCCAAAAAATATTTAAGTACTGTAACGAAGTATTATTACTTTGTTACATTACACCACTAGTTGTTAGCAGTACGCCTTGCCTTGGACCGTCTCAGAAGGCGCGTACAAGGGAAGCACATGCTTGTCTGAACAAACAACACTGCGACCGTTACGTACATCAACTGACAAGGTGGTCTATGCTCCCGTCGCATGTCGCAACTCGCCCGCCACCTCCTCCACTGGAGTCAGAATCATCTGAGGTTGCTTCGTGCCATTCACATTCCGGGTCTGCTCAACCGTGCAGCCGACAAGCTGTCCCGAGCTGAGCTCCCCGGAGAGTGGAGACTCTATCCCCAGATGGTCCAGCCTCTCACTGCCAGTTGTTTTATTCCCTGACCGAGGGAACACTCAGCACGGATGCACTGGCACACAGCTGGCCGCGGGGGCCTGCGCAAGTATGCGTTTCCCCCAGTGAGCCTTCTCACACTGACCCTACTGGCCCACTCGGACCTGGTTCCCGGAACTAATGCTCTTTGTGACAGCCCCTCCCTGGCATATTCCTCTGAGGAAGGATCTACTGACTCAGAGACGGGGCACCCTTTGGCCCCCGCGTCCAGACCTCTAGAAACTTCACATCTGGTCCCTGGACGGGACACGGAGATTCTAGATGGCCTACCCCAAGAGGTAGTAGACACCATCACTTCGGCAAGAGCACCGTCTACGAGACATGCTTATGCCTTGAAGTGGAACCTGTTCGTCGAGTGGTGTTCTTCTCACCGAGAGGACCTCCGAAGATGCCCGATAAGAGTCGTGCTGTCCTTTTTGCAAAAAGTGTTGGAGCGAAGGCTGTCTCCCTCCACCCTTAAAGTCTATGTGGCTGCGATTGCTGCGTACCACGACCCCGTGGAAGGGAAGTCGGTAGGGAGGCATGACTTGGTCGTCAGGTTCCTTAGGGGGGCGAGAAGGTTAAATCCTTCCCGTCCCCTATCTATACCCTCTTGGAACCTGAGTCTAGTGCTCAAAGCACTACAGCAGGGCCCATTTCTTACTATTTCAGTGTTGAAAACAGTTGTGCTGCTTCATATTTTGTGAAAACTGACATTTTTCAGGATTCTTTAATTAATTGAATGTTCAAAAGACCAGCATTTATTTGAAATACTGTATAAATATTTTGTAATATTATAAATGTCTTTATTGTCACATTTAATCGGTTTAATGCATCCTTGCAGAATAAACATATTAATCTTTTTAAAAAGTCACATTAATCTTATTAATATTAATAAAAAAAATCTTATTGACCCCAAACTTTTGACCAGTAGTGAATGTTAAAAATGACATGAACCACATTGCATGTTTCCATTATTAATCTTCTCATATGAAAGTGTCTCAGATGGAAGATGAAAACATGATTTTTCATCAAAAAACAGGTCTGGGCCAAAAATCACGCAATTGCGGTGTGAACGTAGCCGAGCTGAACCTGAAGCAGAATGCAAGCCAGGAGAGAGTGAGAACGAAGCACCATGGAATATCTGCGGCACCATTGAATTTCTGCACCAACAGTAGAAACACATGCAGGGGCTAAAAACAACACAGCCCTGATACCCGACTGAACACACACAAACACGAAATACAGTAAGAGTGGTGGTATCTGGACTGAAAACGGCAAGATCTGGCAGAATCAGATGCAAGTAATTCCATTTCAACATGCGGAAGGTCGGTGTGTGTTGTTGGCAGAATATTGCATCAGAGATGACAGCAAACAACATGATCTTATAAAGAAAATTAATTTCTCTCACAAAAGAGTAGTTCACCCAAAAATTAAACCAATCTCATCCGTTATTCACCTCATCAAAGTGACCAAAGACCAAGTTGTGTTCGTCAATTTAAATGAAACCACCATCAACAGAGCTGTTGTGTTTTGTTTAAGTTTGGAAGGCAGATTTACGGATCATGCTCTTGAAGGGTTGCCACTTCCACTTATTATAAGCAACGCTTATTAATTGTCTTTGGGCTTGTGTTTACTCATTCAGCAGGTGCATGTCACGATATTTTGGTATGTGATATCTTTACAAGATAAAGCATTTGCTTTTAAGCTCATTACAGGCTTGTTATTTGCTGTTTTTCTAGCAAGATCTGGCAACACTGAGTCAAAACGTACCTCGTTCACTGTGATTTCTTGCATCGCACATACAGAAAAGACAACTCTGATATACGCTTAAATGCTTCATGAACAACTAGTTGTTGAGTTTGGTTGCGTACCAGTGTTGCCAAGTCAGCGGTTTTCCCACAGAACTGGACTACTTTTATAATGTTTGCGTGGGTTGTTTTTTAGTCTGCGGGTTAAAGCGAATGCCATAACCCCTTGATGAAAGGGAAAAAAAATAAGTTTCGATTAGCAATTGGACTGGTTTTGTTCTCAGACCTGGCAACCCTGTTCAATACCACTTACAATTTTTGTAAATGAGTTAATTTGGGTGTAAAATGCGGTTGTTGTAAGTGTGTACAGAACAGGATTAAGCACAAAAAGTGAATTGACAACCAAATTTAGCTGCAGTGTGTATGTGGTTGGAATGACATGAGGGTGAGTAAATGAGGACAGAATTTTTTTTTGGGTGAACTGTCCCTTTAAGGTGTATGAGCTCTCAGCCTGCATGTGTGTGTGTGTGTGTGTGTGTGTGTGTGATAAGACACAGCTCTCTCATATGTGCCCTATAGGCTCCAGCAGAAAGGCATAATACGGGACTGTGTGCTGTGTTTGCATTGCTGAGAGAGAGAGAGAGAGAGAGAGAGAGAGCGAGAGCACCATAGTGGAGTTAGTTGTGAGTGAATAATTGCTGAAGTTTAGTAGTACCATAATAAGACCGCAACCTGTAAACAGTGTATTGTTGATTTTTCAAGCACATCTTATCTCTCACAGGAAATGTGTGTTTATGTGTGAAAATGATGTTTGTGTCGATGTTACACACACGTACACTAACCAGGCACCACATGACAAAGCGATAAGTGATAAATTGCATTTCTTCCATGTTAATCTGACACTTCGTCCTAACTAGATGTGATTTACCTGATTTCTATTCATGTAATAGTAGAAATAGCACTGTAGCACTGCTTAATCAATCTCATGAAAATATGCCCACAGTCAAATTTCATCCAAAGATAAAAAACAAAGAATTTTTGTTTTTTCTTAGCCCATTTTAGAACCTTACTTTTTTTTTGCATTATGAAATATGACCTAGACATATTTTCTGTGAGATTCTTTATATATTAAACATCAAATATGACTTGAATCTTGAAAGTTTCCATATCATACCTGGTTAGTTCACGGCGTAACATAAGTTTTAGTGTTGGGGGACGGGATTCGCCTGCTTTGAGTATTCAAAGAGCGTCTGCTTCTGTTTCACACCTGTCATCCAGCGCTTTGTGCTCTATATTTTCACACTCGGACAAACATACACTTGCAAACACACACACATTTTGTCTCTGTCAGTTGTGTGAGAGAGAAAGAGTTGTCACAGTTGGAACATGACAAAAAAAACTAAAACGACGGACAATAAAATACAAGAAAATCAAAAATCTGGACTCAGTAATGTTTTCAAATAAATATCTGAAATGTGACTGTCTAGTGGGTTGAATAGTAATATTAGGATAGCACCAGCCATTCAGAGGCCACAAGCAAAAATGAAGACCACAAGAAGGTGGAACTTATTGGATATGCAGGAAAAGAAGAGGAGGGATGTCACGACGCCATCATGATGTGTGGTGGGTGGAGCTTCAGTAACAGGCAAAGTATTCCTTTAGCGGAGCGAAGAGGTGGCGAATCACAGGCACGCTCCACGACCTTCCCAGAAGCCTTTGCCTGGCGAGACGACTCATGTTGGACACATCTGTGTAATGGACGGGGAAGCCGAAAACTCTGTAACACACACAGCAGTGGATTTTACACACAAGTACATACAGGTGAATATATAAATATATTTATATATATATACATATAAAGAGTTTGGTTCCTAAACGCCATTTAAAAAAAATTTTGTTTCCGCCAAAATCAGTACTGTATCTGGTCGGCATTGAAAAGTCCATTTTTAATTTTATGCAAAATGCGATATCCGCCGAGTTATTCTGTCATGTTTTCTCCCTTTCTTTCCAAACCGCAACAAACGCCAGTCTCCCTTCTCTGCAGAATGCGATATATCCGCTCAACCAATCACAGTGCACCATTCCATGCACTCTAGACAGTAATGGCAGAGCTTTGAATACACCCGGCATCCTAGTTTTCCTCTTTGGGCTGCACGATAAATCGCATGTGATTGTAATGCACATCTCGTCAGTAAAGCCGGTTCTGTGATTAATAGTAAATCTCCATCACGTGCTTTCAGATGGATACACAGAGCCGTAGATCACTGACTAAGGAATATTGCGTTCATAATCGCAGATGAGTTGCATTCGATTATGAACGCGAGCGATATTGCGTAGCTTGTCAGTGTAAGAGTTTTTATTTATGCCATTAATGTTTTTGTT